GTTCATTTGTATTTAATTGTACCCGGAGTAGGCAGCGAGAAAACTAAGGATTTCGTGGCCGGCCGTGGCCTCAATCATGTGATGATATTCGGCAGAGGAAAAGAGTCTTTAGGACATGCTTTGTTTAAATCTTTATAGTCTACGCACATTGTAAGTTTATTTCCCCTTTTAGGGACTATGACTACGTTTTCTAACCATTCAGGGTATTTTACCTCCCGAATGGATCCTATTTTGAGAAGTTTGGTTACCTCGTCCTTGATGAAAGCATGTTTTACCTCGTACTGGGGTCTTCTCTTTTGTTTTATCGGGCGGAACTTCGGGTCCAAGCTTAGTCGATGTGCAGCGATTTCCGGCGGGATCCCTGTCATATCTAAATAGGACCAAGCAAAACAATCCATATTATTGGTAAGAAATTTGATGAGTTTTTCCCTGAGCTCGGGGGTTAACCCCGTACCCAGGTATACCTTTCGATCGGGTAGATGCTCGATCAGTACGACTTGCTCCAGTTCCTCGACCGTCAATTTGGTGGCGTTGGAATCCTCGGGGATTATGAAGGATCGAGGGATCCAATATTCATCATCTTCGTTCGTTCCCTGCTTCTCCGATTGAGTCGAGGCTGGTAGCTATGGTTGCTATTTAGCTTTCTTTTTTCCTTTGGATTCCGATCCTTTTGTTGACGAAAGCGCCGATACCGGTATGACTTCATCGACTGCGAACATCTCTTTAGTAGCATGCTATTCCCCATACACCATTTTTACTCCATCCGGTGTTGGGAATTTCAGCATTTGGTGAAGGGTTAAGGGGACTTCCCTCATATTGTGAATCCATGGTCTTCCGAGCAGTGCGTTGTATCTCATATCTCCTTCGATCACATGGAACTTTGTTTCTTGAATAATTCCAGCTACATTTACTGGTAGGATGATTTCACCTTTAGTTGTTTTGCTTGCCATGTTAAAGCCATTGAGAATTCAAGCTGCGGGTACGATCTGATCTTGTAGGCCGAGCTGCTCCATGGCCCTCGATCGAATAATATTGGCTGAACTTCCTAGATCAATTAAAACACGTTTAACCTGAATTTTATTCATAAGGATAGAGATTACCAAAGCATCATTGTGGGTTTGTAAGATCCCTTCTGCTTCTTCATCATTGAATGATAAAGCGCCTTCTGGCACATAGTCTCGAGTTTGTTTTTCTCTGGTGATTGATACTTTAGTGCGTTTGAACACGAGACCTTGTGGAATATTGACCCCAACAATGATCATGTGAATCACGTGCTGTGGTTCTTCCTGCTCGTTTTTCCTATTTGCGTTTCTGTCTCTGATATGGTTTTTAGCTCGGGCGCTCAAGAATTCTTGAAGATGACCCTCGTTGAGTAGACGGGCCACCTCCTCCCTTAGTTGTCTGCAATCTTCAGTTTTATTACAATATGTACCATGGTATTTTCATGTTTGATTGAGGTTTCTTTGGGATGGATCGGTTTTTAGGGGTCTGGGCCATCTAGTATCTTTGATTCTCCCAATGGCTGACACAATACCTGATGTGTCGATGCTGAAGTTGTATTATGACAATCGTGGTGCTTATGTGGGATTGACATGTTTATCGAAGCCACTTTTTCTCATGAGCCCTCGAGAGCTCTGTCTTCGATCGTTCCTTCGATCATTTTGAATGGGATTGTGTCCTGGGCTACTGTTTCTATGATCTGCGTTGTATGATAGATACCGATCTCTGCTCGATCGGGGTTCTCTATCGATATCCCTTTGAGTTCTGTCGACGGGCTTGTTTGGATAAGCGTAATCGGAAGGGGTCCCCAATTAATCATTCTCGACCCTGATCTTCGACTGGTACCGATTATGTACATCGGACCAGGTTACCGCTGGATATTCAATTAAATTCTGCTTTAGTTGTCGTGATGCCACTGAACTTCGTTCGTTCAAACCTTGAGTAAAGGATTGAACAGCCCAATCGTCTATGACCGGCGGTAGTTCCATGCGTTCTATCTGAAATCGAGATGTAAATTCCCTCAACATTTTGTTGTCTTTTTGTTTCACCTTGAAGAGGTCCGATTTTCTAGTCGCGACCTTTATTGCTCCGGCATGTGCCTTTACGAAGGAGTCTGCAAGCATGGCGAAGGAATCAATGGAATTAGGCGGCAAATTGTTGTACCATATCATTGCTCCTTTCGACAAGGTTTCTTCAAATTTCTTCAGTAGAACAGATTCAATCTCATCATCTTCTAAGTCATTTCCCTTTATTGCGCATGTATAAGAAGTGACATACTCATTAGGGTCAGTGGTCCCGTTGTACTTAGGAATTTCTGGCATTCGGAATTTCTTTGGAATGGATTTCGGTGCCGCACTCAGAGGGAAAGGCTTCTATACAAATTTCTTTGAATCCATACCTTTTAAAATCGGCGGCGCCCCCGGTATTTGGTCAACCCAGGAGTTATATGTCTCTACTTTCTTGTCATTTGCCTCAATTTTCTTTTCTCCCGATTTAATCCATTTAGTGATCTCCTCGAACATTTTGATAATGGCGGGGTCAGTCCCTGATTCGTTGACATTCGACCTTTCCGGCACAGGCTCGGTCCTTTGAACGACTTCTGGTTCGATCCTACTCGGTGTTCGGTGTTGATTTTGTAGTTGTGCTATAGCGGCCCGTTGAGCCTATAACATTTCGAATATCAATTGGAGGCTAACTCCACCATCTTCTCCGCCCTGTGTACCTCGACCACCTAATCGAACTTCCCTGTGTATACTACCTTCGGGCTCAACGCCCAAATTTGCATTTAGGGCGACATGTGAACTAACATCGACGAGATTTGCAATTGGTGCTCCCTCGAGGTCGGCTTGAGGCACCTCGATTTCTGGGGCGGCTATGTTGTCGTTTTCCCCGTGAAATCCAAGACTGTTGTCACCATGTGTAGGTGCTGCATGTGAGTTTGACATGTTTGTCCTAAAAACAAAGATTCTTACGAGAACAAGTGTAAAGCAGTGTGTGTTATTGAAATTAGTATTAAGCAATCACTATTATCCTTAGCCCCACGGTGGGCGCCAAACTGTTTACCCTTAAAATTGGATAACAATTAAACTTATAATGTGGATTTAAGGATACGTGATTTTACTTAATACTAATTGAAATATATGAAAATTAATGATAGAATTGTACAATAAAGTAAATCAAACCAGTATTTGAGTAGAACTAAACCCTTGAGTTAGAGTATCCTCGAACTAGTTGATGCAAGGACAATAAAAATACAATAAGCTGGAGAACAAGAGTGTGAGCGAGAAAGAAAATTATATTGCTTTTTTATCAGTTATCCCCAAAATGGTTAGAACTTCCCTTTATACAGTAGAGGAATTCTATATATGGTACAATTCTAATTACAAAAGGAAATCCCATGATTAGCTAAACAACCGTTCTTGATTCGATCCGTTCCAAAATTTCCACCATGATCTTCGACCAGTCACGGATATCTCGCTTTTCCGTTATTACGCTATCTTTGGTATTGCTCGATGCCTGTCTTGTCTGGTCTCGATTGTTGTCGGCCTCGATCTTAGCAGGTGTCTCGGATCCCGAGCTCGGTACCTTATCTTCGTGCCTTGACCCGATTCACTTCGGGTTGACCTTCGATTCAACTTCTTGGTCTCGGTTAGCATAGAAAAATCAGATGGGCTCGATTTTAACTGTATACAAATAGAAGATAGAAAGCCTGCCAATCATAAAATCTGTTAGAGGAATTAACGATCGTCTCAAGATCAATTATTTACTCTTATATCTGAGCATCTAATTCAGTGCTCTATAGTTTTTTAAAAACCTATCCCAACCACGAAGGCATGTAGTGGTGTCGAATTCCACTACTAGAAAACTGATAAAATTCGTAAAAAAAATACTGACCGAAATTGGTCAGAATATAAGTAAATTGGTCGCAAAAGTCAAAGAAAATATTTTTGACAATGAAAATAGTGGTCCCACAACAAAGATATACAATTTCCGACCGATTTCGGTTGGAAATTGGTCAATCTTTGACCAAGACATGGTCATACTTGCATTTTATCTATCAAAATAAGTTTTAATTAAAAACTTTAAAATAACCGACCGAAATCGGTCGGTATATTTAGAATTATTCTTTCCCGCCCAAGGCAATTGGTTTTTTAATATAACAAATTTATATATATATATAATTTACCAAACGAAATAAGTTTTAATTAAATTATCCCGACCGAATGCGGTCGATATTTCAATTTTAAANACACACACACACATAATCTTGAATGTTTTATTCTCGATCACCTTATTAGTACTTTGCTCGGATAATTTATTAGTGGATCAATTGAAAATTCAATTATATTCGATTAAAACTTATTACAACACATTTAAAAACAAAGTGTATAGTTCTATAAGATGTAGTGCTATATTAATATTTAAGTTTAGCAACAACACCATATGAATATAATATATATTAATATAGCATATGTTAATATAGCATTAATATGTATACATATGCTGTTGTTGCTAAAACTTAAGTATTAATATATATATAAAAGCTATCACTACAGGAAAAATAGTTTTTAGGGACGAGAAAACTGGTCCCTAATAGTCCAATTCTGGTCTCTAAAGGTCAATAGTGACTAGTAAAATCTGGTCGCCGCCAGTCGCTATAGGCTCCGCTTCTAAAAGTCAATAACGACGAGTTGAGTAGCGGGTCCTTAAAGAGTTTTTACAACCGGTATACTTCTGGTCCTAGAAGCACTTTTACAGACCACATTTCTGGTCTTAGACAAAGACACATTTGGTGCTTATATTTTTTTAGTGACCAGTTTGTACTGGTCCTATAAAGTTTTTAAGGACCAAAAACCTGATTGCTAAGCCTCTCATATCCAATTTATCCCCAAAATATTATACAATTTGCAACAATGATAATCAGCTTAATACAACATAATTATCAATAAAACCAAGCTTTTATATATATACTCATCAAGGTTAAATCACTAAGACCTTGATGGAAATTTCAATTACATGTCAAATACAAGGAGGGGGGCATATACCTTACCTCCTACATATTTCTAAGAATTCACACTTTACATACCACAACTATCAAAATATCCTCGCTATACAAGTTTGTCTAATACATTTCAAAATTCCTGCTGGTGTAGCATCTTGATGTGGACTTTGTTTGTCGAAGTAAATTACTGTTGTCGGTATTTTTCATGTCTCCATTAGGGTGATAAACTTTCGTGTTTTGTGTTCAACACCTTGCTGTTTGGATATATTTGGACATTTATCTTGTGCCTGCACTTATTAACAACACATATTAGCCTATACAACCCGAAAATAAATCCAAATGAAATAATTTACTATACATAAAATATTTTCAGTAATTCTCCATTTGGATGAAATACTCCACAATACTCAAATGAAATAAGGTACCAGTGAGTTATAGTAGTTCAGCTAATTCATATAAGCATGAAAATAAAATATTTGGATCATCAAAATTTCCAACTAGAGCATCTTTAGGACATCATAATAGCATACAAGTATCCCAATGTCTAAATTGTCTATTTCTCCAGCAAGAGCACATCTTACTTACGAAGAATTAACCACACAGTTTACTATCTTTCAAAGAAGCATGTTCTAACATTCAAGGAAGTAATTTCTTTACATATAGAGAATCATGTACATGAACAAGACATTGTACACAATTGCATAGCAGCTCAAACAGACAAAAATATTTCTTTCCTAAAACAACTCAAATACTTTACTTTCCAACTATTCATTGAGGTATAAATCTTGTTCACAAACTTTAATATCACTCAAGTCATGACAAATAACAGTCCACTCTGAGAGATAATAACAATGGAGAGGAACACACGCATATTGCATATTTCCCTCTCCTTCAAAGCATGTAATTTTCATATATACTCCAACTACATCCTTTCAAAATCTAAAAGCTAGATATCAATCAAATTGCATAAGTGATAGCTCAAGATAAAGGACATTACATAATCTGAAAGGATGAAACAGAAATCATCAATGTTATTGCCTTTCTCAAAAGACCACCAATCATTCTCCACATATGTTTCTATTCAAATAAAATAATTGTTGTATATTTCTAACATCATTCTTAACCTAAGAACTCCAACAGAAGATGTTCCTTAAGAACCATTTATTTGAAAAAGATCAACAAAATCATGAAAATCACAACAGTCTAAATGTTATTGTACTCTCACTGGATTGAAGGATTTTGGTGCTAATAGAGCAACATTAGAACCTGGGAACAAAAAATATTTGAAAAAGAACAAATGAGTCGAAGCTTACAAATCTATCCCTTGTCTCTGGGTTCAAAGACGAAATACTTCGCATTCACCTCAATATCAACTAATTTAATTTTAAGAACATATATAGAAATATCAAAAGACCAAAGTCATCAACTATTTAGGTTTTCTAAATTTCTTGATTTTGTTGATTTTTTAGGAAGCTCTAGCTACAAGATCTGCTAAGCTAACTACATTGGTTAAAGAAAACATACATTAAAGAAATACAGGAATCTTCAAATGTACGTCCATACTAATTTAACGCTGAACCAAGTAAACACCTCAAGATTACCCATCTACAAAAAATAATTTTAGTACTCCATCATTAACCTTAGAATACTACCCATGTAATAGTGTCCTATGGAATGGAATCGATGCCCTATGCGCCTAATATTCCACTTGCTAGGCAAGCCGAAGTTAGAGAATTATTAAGCCAATCCTTATTCAATTCAGTAAATAACAGCAAATAAGCTAAAATGAAATACAACGAGTGCGGAATAATATAAAAACTTCATTAATTACTACCACCCGGATCTGGAGTCACAATTCACGAACTTCTAGGATTTACTGCAAGTAAAAGTTCGAAAGAAATACAACTGTTTGAATGAAAGAAACAGTAAAAAAAACTAAAAAGATAGACGGGGACTTCAAGGTCTGCGAACGCCAATAGATCTACCTTGAGTCTCCGATGAACTAGTCCGAGCTGCTACACCTCTCGATCAACTGGGACCAATACCAAAATCTGCACTGGAAGTGCAAAGAGCAGTATCAGTACAACCGACTCCATGTACTGGTAAGTATCGAGCCTAACCTCGACGAAGTAGTGACGAGGCTATGACAAGGCACCTACATAACAAACCTGTGCAATTTAACAGTATATGTACAAATAACAACTAAACATGTACTATTGGGAGGAGGAACATGCTGAGGGGAATACGAGATAGAGAACTACAACATAATGGTAACTTGAATAGCCGATATACTATGAACCAATAAGAACAAGTAAACATAGTAAAGAAAAAATGCACGGCATCACCCTTCGCGCTTTTACTCTCAACCTCACCATAAAATCAATAGAAACGACACGACATCGCCCTTCGTGCATTAACTCTCATAATATGACACGACATCACCCTTCGTACATTAACACTCATAATATGGCACGACATCACCCTTCGTGCATTAACACTCACTATATGGTACGACATCACCTTTCGTGCATTAACACTCTCCCTTACCACTATGCAATGAACAAATAACAACATGGAGATAGAATAACAAGTACAAGCCTTACTTCAACATTTGGTTCCACAATATCAACCTCAACTTCAGAGTCAATACTCAATTATCACCAGAAGATCCGTAAACATGATAAAAATGATCAATTTAATAATACTAGTCTAAACATGGATAATATGAATAAAGGAAGCAATAATTGCAAGAAACCAAACCCCGCCCGCATGCTTTAACCCGACTACAATGCATAAGTACTCGTCACCTCACATATATGTTGTTCTCCAATATTTAAACCTGTAGCAAATAGACAAACAAGTCCTATTCCCTCAAGTCAAGGTTAACCACAACACTTATCTTGCTCCAAAGGCCACTCAATGCTCAAATACCACTTTTCCTCTAGAATCCACCTCCAAACCACTCATATCTATTCACAAATGACTCAATAATATCAAATATTGCTAAAGAAATCAATTACATTGCATAAATTTAGATTCTCCAAACTTTCCCTCAAAAAGTCAAAAAATCGACCCCGATCCCGCTTGGTCAAAACCCAAGGTTCGGACCAAAATTCATTTACCCGTTCACCCCCGAGCCCGATTATATAATTAGTTTCGGAATCCGACCCCAAATTGAGGTCTAAATCCCCAAATTTACAAAAAACCCCAATTCTTCCTAAATCCCTAGTTTTCTACCATGAAAGAATAAAGATTAGGGCTAGGAATTTAATGGGTGATGATAGAAATGGAAGAAAATGAGTTAAAGAGTACAAACCTATGATTTGATGTTGAGTTTTCTCTTCAAAATCGCACCTAGGCCGAGCTCTAATGGAGGGTTTATGAAAAATGGGTAAAATCCCGTTTTTGAAATGTTTTAAGGTTTGGGCGTCAGGCTTTCTTCGTATTCGCGAAGGGCCTGCCGCATTCGCGATGAGCCGCAGCCCGAGTGGCTTTCGCGTTTGCGAGTCCTCCTTCGCGTTCAAGAAGGCTGCTCCCCCTGGCCTTCGCGTTCGCGAGCCCATGCTCGCGTTCGCATATAAGAATGACTGACCCCTCCCCCAGGTCCCTAAAGCTTCGCGTTCGCGAGAAGCTGGTCGCGTTCGCGAAGGGTAAGGCCCCCATTGCTTCGCGTTCGCGACCCAGCTACCGCGTTCGCGATTAAGAAAATCACCCTGCCCAGTTTACTCTTCGTGTTCGCGATAGTACCGTCAGGAGCGCAAAGAAGAACACACCAGATAACAGCTGAAGCACAAAAAAACCAGATTTCTAAGTGAAAAAAGCTTTCGTAGCCTATCCGAAACTCACCCGAACCCTCGGGGATCCAAATCAATTATGCACACAAGTCCAAAAATGTTACAACCTAAATTCGTGTACCTTAGATCATGCCGTAAGTTAGTCAACGTAAATCCGAGAAGAGCTTGTCTTTGAGATGATAAGAAATTAATCCTATTGGTCTTAAACGATACAAGGGTGTATAAGAGTGGTTAATAATTATTAGAAGTTAAACGAATCAAGGATGTTGTAACCCGTATTTTCGGGTAAAACTAGAGGTGCTTAATTTTCCCAAGAGGTCATGTTTTAATGTATTTGAATCATATAATATCCGTATCATAAGTCTTAAAGTCAAGCGAGTTATGAAACAAAAGTCGATAAAAGTTGTCGCAACTTACGTTTATAATTTTACTTAAACTTTAGGTTGGTTGGTGGACTGTTTTGGGAGGCTCAATATGATTATTGTTGATGTTGTTTGGGCTGTTTGGTGATTGCCTTGACTTGTGGGAAGTCATATAAATAGGGAAAGTTCTGTCCGTTTCATCATAAAATAGGTTGCGGTCGATACATAATAGTTATGATGCTTAAACGATTACGATAGTGTCATTTGTCTTATTGTAGACTAAGGAGTCATGACATTTGCATAGCTTGAGGTTGGGCAGTATATACAAGGCATGTGAGGCTATCCCCCTTCATTCTTTTGCACGACTCCGATTGTACATAAAGTAATGAATGAGCTTCCAAAGATACTCTACTCTTCGAAGCTAAAGTACTTACATTGTTGACCTTCTTATGGAACGATTGATGTTGATGTTACATCTCTTATTCTTATGTTATCAATATTGTTGGTACTTCCTGATTCTTATAAGATTCTTGACGAAGAGTTAATCCTAATAACGTGTACGGAGGATACCAACCTTACGTCACTCCGGAAGGTTCAAAATGTGATTTCAATGAGTCCAGCACGCATCATATATATATATGTATCTATTTTACTCTACCGAGCCGCGCTATAGTCAGCCGGCTATGGCACCTATTGTGCAACCACTGATCAGTTGGGTTTTACCGAGCTTCACGTGGCCGGGTACGATTCTACCGAGTCTTATGATGGCCGGGTATATTTTACCGAGCCTATTACGGCTGGGTACAATATGATGATGATGATGCCCACAGAGGCATATGTTTTAAAAGTTTATGTATATATATATGTATGTATCATGCATTTCATGTCAATAGCCCTCAGAGGTACCCAGATGTCACATGTTGTATATCCCCTATCTTTGTTTACAATACTGTTCTTACTTATGCTTTCTTGCCTTACATACTCAGTACTTTATTCGTACTGACATTTTTTTTATTTGTGGACGCTGCATGCCGTGCTGCAGGTCCTGATAGACGGGTAGACGCAGCCCCCTCACCACAGTAGGCTGCCCAGTTCAACGGTTATTGGTGAGATCCCTTCTCCGGACTTGCCGTGGTCTTGGTATGCATTTTTGTTATAGACATTATGGGTATGTCGGGGCCCTGTTCTGGCAATGTTGCAGCACTTATGTTCTTTTAGAGGCTCATAGACAGGTGTCGACTCATGTATGGTTTGGAATGCCTTGTCGGCTGATTTTTGTTGTATAGTATTTCATGGCAGCGTGGTAGCTCGTATCTTATATATAGTTTCTTGACAGTCTTGTCGTCCCATGTTATGTATGTTCAAGCCATTATCTTTCATTGTTGGCTGTTCATGATCCATGTTTACCATTTATATTGATCTCGTCGGCCCTTAAAGATAATAAGGAAGGTTAGATAAAATGTACGTTGGTGCTCGGTAAGTATGGCCCGGGTGCTAGTCATGACCCTCCAATTGGGTCGTGACAAAAAACCTCATACGAACTCGCCCGCGCAAACAAAACACCAAAATAACTTCTAGAACTACGAATCGAACGCTAAATCAAATGAAATTTTCAAGAAAACTTCTATTTTCACAACCGAACGTCCGAATCACGTCAAATCAACTCCGTTTCTCACCAAATTTCACAGATAAGTCATAAATATAATAATGGACCTATACCGGGCTCTAGAACCAAAATACAGACCCGGTATCGACAGGACCAAATATCAGTCAATTCTAAAAATTATTAAACTTTCAAACTTTTAATTTTCCATCAAAATTCCATATCTCGAGCTAGGGACCTCAGAATTCGATTCCGGGCATACGCCCAGGTCCCAAATTACGATACAGACCTACCGGGACCGTCAAAATATGGATCCAGGTCCGTTTGCTCAAAACGTTTACTAAAGTCAATTTAAATGAATTTCTAAGGCAAAATTCTTATTCTTATCAGTATTTAACATATAAGCCTTACAGCAGAATACTTGGATTGCGCACGTAAATCGAGGAAGACTAAAATGAGGTTTTTGAGACCTCGAAACATAGAGTTAGGTTCTAAAATATAAGATGACCTATCGGGTCATCACATTCTCCACCTCTAAAACAACCGTTCGTCCTCGAACAGACATAAAAAAGTACCTAAACTGGTGAAAAGATGTGGATATCTACTCCGCATATCTGACTCGGACTCCCAAGTAGCTGCCTCAACGGGCTGACATCTCCACAGCACTCGAACTGAAGAATAACTCTTAGACCTCAATTGTCGAACCTGCCAGGCTAGAATAGCCACCGGCTCCTCCTCGTAAGTCAAATCCTTGTCCAACTGGACAGAACTGAAATCTAACACGTGGGACGGATCGCCGTGATACTTCCAAAGCATGGACACGTGGAACACCGGATGAACTGGTGATAACCCCGGTGGCAACGCAAGCCTGTAAGCCACCTCTCCCACTCTCTCCAGAATCTCAAAAGGTCCGATATACCTAGCGCACAACTTGCCCTTCTTTCCGAACCTCATTACACCCTTCATGGGTGATACCTGAAGCAACACTCTCTCACCGACCATGAATGCAACATCACAAACTCTGCGATCGGCATAACTCTTCTGCCTGGACTGAGCTGTGCGAAGTCGATCCCGAATAATCTTGACTTTATCCAAGGCATCCTATTCTAGATCTGTACCCAACAACCGAGCCTCCCCCGGCTCGAACCACCCAACTGGCGACCGGCACTGCCTACCGTATAATGCCTCACAGGGAGCCATCTGAATGCTCGACTAGTAGCTATTGTTGTATGCGAACTCTGCAAGGGGAAAGAACTGATCCCATGATCCTCTGAAGTCTATAACACATGCGCGGAGCATATCCTCCAAGATCTAAATAGTGCGCTTGAATTGTCCGTCCATCTGAGGATGAAACGATGTGCTCAACTCAACCCGCGTGCCCAACTCACGCTGTACTGCCCTCCAGAAGTGCGAGGTGAACTGCGTACCTCGGTCAGAAATGATAGACACATGCACACCGTGAAGACGGACGATCTCGCGGATATAAATCTCTGTCAACTGCTCCGAAGAATAGGTAACTGCCACAGGAATGAAATACGCTGACTTAGTCAGCCTGTCCACAATGACCCAAACTGCATCGAACTTCCTCTGAGTCCATGGGAGTCCAACAACGAAATTCATAGTGATACGTTCCCACTTCCACTCAGGAATCTCTATCCGCTGAAGCAAACCACCAGGTCTCTGATACTCATACTTTACTTACTGTCAATTTAGACACGGAGCTACATAAACAACTATATCCATCTTCATCCTCCTCCACCAATAATGCTGCCGCCAGTCCTGATACATCTTGGCGGCGCCCGGATGAATAGAATACCGGGAACTATGGGCCTCCTCAAGAATCAACTCACGAAGTCCATCCACATTAGGCACACAAACACGACCCTGCATCGTCAAAACTCCGTCATCTCCAACAGTAACCTGGTTGGCACCAGGCCTTCTTCGCGTTCGCGAAGGGCCTTCTGCGTTCGCGATGAGCAGCAGCCCGAGTGGCTTTCGCGTTTGCGAGTCCTCCTTCTCATTCGTGAAGGCTGCTCCCCCTGGCCTTCGCGTTTGCGAGCCCATGCTCACGTTCGCGTAGAAGAATGATTGACCCCTCCCCCAGGTCCCTAAAGCTTCGCATTCGCGAGAAGCTGCTCGCGTTCGCGAAGAGTAAGGCCCCCATTGCTTCCCATTCGCGACCCAGCTACCGCATTCGCGATTAAGAAAATCACCCTGCCAAGTTTAATCTTTGCATTCGCGATAGTACCTTAGCGAACGCGAAGAAGAACTCACTAGATAACAGCTAAAGCACAAAAAAACCATATTTCTAAGTGCAAAAAGCTTTCGTAGCCTATCCGAAACTCACCCGAGCCCTCCGCGCTCCAAACCAGTTATGCACACAAGTCCAAAAACCTCATACGAACTCGCTCGTTCGAACAAAACACCAAAATAACGCCTAGAACTACGAATTAGACACCAAATCAAATGAAAATTTCAAGAAAACTTTAAAACTTCTATTTTCACAACTGAACGTCCGAATCACGTCAAATCAACTCTGTTTCTCACCAAATTTCATAAACAAGTCATAAATATAATAATGGATCTGTACCGGGCTCTAGAATCAAAATACAGACCCGGTATCGACAAGACCAAATATCAGTCAATTCTAAAAATCATTAAACTTTCAAACTTTTAATTTTTCATCAAAATTCCATATCTCGAGCTAGGGACCTCGGAATTCAATTCCGGGTATACGCCCATGTCCCAAATTACGATACGGACCTACCGGAACTATCAAAATACGGATCCGGATCCGTTTGCTCAAAACGTTGACCGAAGTCAACTTAAATGAATTTTTAATGGTAAAATTCTTATTTTTATCAGTTTTTAACATATAAGCCTTCTGGAAGAACACCCGGACTGCGCATGCAAATCGAAGAATGCTAAAATGAGATTTTTGAGACCTCAAAATACATAATTAGGTTCTAAAATATAAGATGACCTATCGGGTCATCACATGTCTATTCCATCTCTCACAATAAATTGATTCATTATGCACTAAGTTTTCAAAGGTGTTTTGCCAATTAATGTTTTCACAACAGGAAACAAGACGAATGAACTAAACGGTACCTAGAAAACCAGTTAGCAGGGAGTACTTTCCTTTCCTAACACAACACATCATAGGTAGTTAAAGCCCTTTACTTGCTTAGCTGTGGTTTAACTTTTAAGAAGTGAATAGTATATATAAGCTACCAGATATAACTATTTTAAATACAACATTAGAATTACCCCATTCAATCATCATTATCCTCACCACACTGCTTATATAAATCTAAAAATAAAAAACATGAATATCTAGAATGAATAAATGAATTAAAACACCTAATGGGTCAACAAAATTCTACTAATTCTCCCTTTTTGACAAGGAATTGAACCAATTTACCTTATCGCAAAGGCCACAGTCACAACCTATTCCCATATTGCCTTAGTCCTCTAAACAAGTTCTTAGAACACTAATGGGCTTCTTTATATCAATGTGGTCGTTCATATATAGTGATTTTGGTTTTTCTTACTTCCTCTACAAAGTTGTCTCACATTTTACAATTTAAAGAAAAATTTGGACCGATATAAAAAAGAGAGAGGAAAATTTGGGAAATCTTGGCGGAAAAGATGGCATATGAACTAGTTTATTGCTTTAGAAACACCAAAAGATATTAGATAATTTTGGTTAAAGATCTTTTATTTTTTAGTTCCTTTTACCTCTGGATTAATAAAAACTGACATCTTTTTTTACTATATAAAAGTAAATTTAATCAACATTTAATTGTTTTTCTCACAATCCTTAGAATACAAATTAATGTTCACACATTTGCATTCAAAATGAAATTTCAAAAGAGAAACACTTTTGTTCCCTATATTCTTTTACTCTCACGAACATAACAACTACGGGGAAATATTACTATTCTTCATCCTCCTTGCCCACCACGCCCCAGCTTTGAATGAAACCCTATCAACCATCAGTGTTCAATATAATCGGCACCGAAGATCGTCATACTCAACAATCATTATTCAGTAAGAAAGAAAGTTTTTGGTTTTAAACCTAGAAACAAGAGAAAGAAAGAAAGAAAGATAGAGACATACATGTTCATATAGACAACTCTTGTCATCGCCGGTTTGTGAGTCTTCAGCCACTTCAGATAAACGCGTCGTGAGACAACCCTCGAGAAAAATTTGGAATAGTGATTTGTTAGGGTTTCATTTCGGGGGAAAACTAGAAGGAGTGGGTGGGGGGTGGGGGTTGATCTAATTTTTTATCGGATGTTTGAAGGGACACGCGGGAGGTTTAATTAATAGAAATTTTTTATATTGGTGCAAAATATAGGGACCAGATCTTTATTCTTTCGGTGATCAAGTTTTTGTCACGACCCAAATTCTCCCTCCGTGAAACGTCGTGACGATACCTAGTCTCTACGATTAGGTAAGCCTAACACTTGCGGAAATGAAATGAAAAACATAAAAATTTAACAACTAACAGTAACAGATATTTTAATAAGCAATTGAGATACCGCTCGGCATATACAATAATCAACTCTCGAAATATACATGACATTCCCAAGACCCGGAACACCGTAAGCCACAAGATTCAACGAAGTTATAACTATTCTATACATCAGTGTCTATAGAAATAAGAGAAGAATCAACATAGGGGAATAGAGGGGGACTTCGAGGATCTGCGGGCACAGGCAGATGTACCTTAAGTTCTCCGAAACAATAACAACTGCAACTAAGGATGAGGCTGGTAAAAGGAACCTGGATCCGCACACGAAAAACATGTGCAGGAAAGGGCGTGAGTACACCACAGCGGTACCCAGTAAGTGCCGAGCCTAACCTCGGTCGAGTAGTGACGAGGTCAGGTCAGGCCCACCGGTATATAATAATAAAAATAGGAGAATAAGCAGTGTAATAAGAGACTAAAGTTCAATAAAGGAAAGCACAGAGAAATAACATAACAATGCATGGAATTAAGCGACATGGGATCTTCCGAGATACCGTTTCATAGTCCCAAAAGTACATATGCATGGACAACTCCCGAGGTACCCCCGTAGTCCCAAAAGTAAATATACGGGGGGATCTCTCGGGATACCGTCCCGTAGTCCCAAAAATAAATATGCAGGGGGATCTCTCGAGATACCGTCCCGTAGTCCCAAAGTAACACAGCGCAATAAATTACAAACGACAAGTACAACAAGAGAAATCTATAGTCTAGACTAAGTACAAGTCGGGAAAGAAGCAGGAATTCAATAGGCATGCTGCAAAGAGTTCAATTAAGCAAATAAGGCATGTAGACATGTTATTATAAGCTAACAGGGTAACTACGCATGCTAGTATATTCAATTAAGGTGAAAACATGGAATTTCTCAGTAAAATTTGGGTTTTTCAAAAATTAGCCCGTGTACGCACTCGTCACCTCGCGTACACGGCGTTCACATAGTAAAATTAGTACCAACTCCTAAGGGGATTTCCCCCACACAAGGTTAGGCAAGCCACTTACCTCAAACCAAGATCAATCAATCCGTAACAGTGCTCTTTCCACGAATATCCGGCTCCGAATGGCCCAAATCTAGCCAAAATCAATTACATACCATAAATACAACTATAAGAATTAATCTAATTAACGAATTCAAAGCTAAAGCAAGAAATTGGAAAATTGCCCTAAAAATCTTCCACGGGCCCACATCTCAGAATCGAGTAAAAGTCACCAATTATGAACACCCATTCACTCACGAGTTCACTCGTACCAAAATTATCCAAATCCGATGTCATAATCCCAATCAAAACCCAAAAATCTTAGTTGAAGAACTTCTTCCCATTTTTCCTAATTTTCAACCCAAATCGGAAATTAAATGATGAAATTAATGATAGATTTATGGGATATAACTAAAATCAAGTGTAAAATCATTACCCAATCGATGTCTCTGAATATTCCCTAAAATCTTGTCCAAATCCGAGCTCCCAAACTCAAGTTTTGATAAAAATGGCCAAACCCTCATTTTTGAAATGTTTAATATTGCCGAGTGATTCCTTAATCGCGATCGCGGAAATAGCCTCTTGATCGCGAAGAATAACTTTGCTGCTGTAATGACCTGGCCGATCGTTTTGAGTATTACAACCGTATTTCCCCATTTACTTCTTAAATTATATTTTATAGTTGTTGTGTGAATTACCGGGGTAATTGGTTCGGGTCTAGTGAGGTTTTTGAAGGAATTGGAACACTTAGTTCCAAGGTTTAAAGATTAAGTTAAAATATTGACCGGATGCGGACTTATGTGTAAACGACCTCGAATTCGAATTTTGATGATTCCAATAGCTCCGTATGGTGATTTTGGACTTAGGAGCGTGTGCGAATTTTTTTTAGAGGTCCGTAGTGGAATTTGGCTTGAATTGCCGAAAGTTGAATTTTTGGAAATTTTGACCGGGGGTTTGACTTTTTGATATCGGGGTCGGAATCCGATTCCGGAAATTTGAATAGGTCTGTAGTGTGAAATGTGACTTGTGTGCAAAATTTGAGGTCAAACGGACGTGATTTGATAGGTTTCGACGTCGTTTGTAGGATTTGGAAATTTATTAGGCTTGAATTCGTGAGTAGTTTGTATTTTTGAGGTTGTTAGGTATGATTTGAGGCCTCGAGTAGGTTCGTGTTATATTATGAAACTTGTTGGTATATTCGGACGGGGACCCGAGGGCGTCGGGTGAGTTTCGGATGGTTAACAGATTGAATTTTGAATTCGGAAGACTACTGGAACTGAAGCCTTCTGGTGTAATCGCACCTGCGGAAAAATAGTCGCAGGTGCGAGCTCGCAAGTGCGAGCAGGGGTGCGGTGAAGCGAGGTGCGCATGTGCGGAAGATGCTTCGCAGGTGCACAATCGCACCTGCGCGAGAAGGAACGCAGATGCGGGCAGAGGGGTGTGAGGCATTGGTCGCAGGTGCGAGGGAAAATTCCGCACATGCGTGAGCGCAGATGGGGACGGATGCGTGCAGAAGAGGAAACTGGGCAGGCGAGTGGAGTCCGTAAATGCGACGTTTTGCTCGCACAAGTGAATGCGCAGGTGCACAAATCCTGTCCGCAGATGCGGAAATCGCTAGGGCATAACCTTAATTTCGAGGGTTCAACATTTTCACCCATTTTCGGATTTTGGAGCTCAGGTTGGGCGATTTTGGAGAGGAAATGTTTCACGCAACTTGGGGTAAGTGTTCTTAACTCCCTTGTGATTATATTTCATGAATTAATCTTCATTTTTGGTGTAAGATTATTGAATCTTCAAGAGGAATAGAAGGAAATTTCTATAATGTCACAAAATGAATTTTTCATGTTTGAATACCGATTTGGAGTCGGATTTAAGTGAAATTAGTATGGTTGAACTTGTAATTGGATGGGTTTTTGTATTTTGTGAGTTTTGTCGGATTTCAAGACGTGGGCCACACGGGTGATTTTGGGGCGTAATTTCGGATTTTATGGAAAATATTACGGTTTTGATATGGAATTAATTATTATAAATTGTGTAGATTGAGTCAAATTATTGTGACTAGATTCGAGCAGTTTGGAAGTTGATACACGCATAATAGAATTTCTGGAGCATTGCTTAGCTTTCTCGACATTGGATTTGGCCTGTTCGAGGTAAGTAACTCTTCTAATCTTGGAGTTGAGGGTATGAACCCTGAATATATGTATTTTGTAAATTGTTGGGAGGTGACGCTCATGCTAGGTGATGGGCGTGTGAGCATGCACTATAGAAATTGTGACATAATTATTTCTGTGGAATTTGTAGTTAAATAATCTTGGCATTTTCCATGTAGTTTTATGAGTTAAAGATATTAAGCTGAAAAGTATATTAAAAATCATGTTGAGGCTATGTGCCAGTATTAATGGGACCCCCAGAGGTCATATTGCTGCGAATTATTTGTTTTAAATTGAAAATTCATACTCAATCATATTCATTTCATTGCATATCATATCTCAGTCTCTGTTATTTTTTATTGATACATCATATCATCATTTTTGGGCTATTTTTTATGACATTGTGAGCCCGAGAGACTAGAGAGATTGATGACTGAGTGAGGCCGAGGGCCTGATTTATGAGGATATTTATGGGATCGGGCTGCACGCCGCAGCATGTTTGATATCGGCCGAGGGCCTGATTGTGAGGATGAGTGTGGGTTGGGGCTGCCCGCCTGCATCATACTTTATTATTATAGCACGTGAGTTGTCTGTGCAGCACGTGAGTTGTCCGTGAAGATTATAGCGCTTGGGCTGAAGGAGCCCCTCCGGAGTCTGTACACACCCCCAATGAGTGCAGGTACCTACTGAGTGCCAGGTGCGAGTGCCGAGTGCTAAGTGACCGGGAGGCATGAGTGATTGTGAGGTATGCCCGAGTGGCAAGAGTGATTGTGAGGTATTCCCGAGTGGCAAGAGTGATTGTGAGGTATGCCTGAGTGGCACGAGTGACTATGAGGTTTGCCCGAGGGGCTGTATATGAGTGATGTTCTGCCCGAGGGGCTGTTTATGATTTTATCACTGAGTTGCATCGCATTGGCATGCACACATGACATACATGCATAGAGATGTATTTGTTTCTCATGCTATACAACATCATATCATTCATGATTTTTCATATATTTTGACAGATGGGCATAGTGATGCATTTGTTTTACACGGGTTATTCGGAAGGAAAATGAAACATATTATTTATTATTGAAAAGAATTTTGGAGAAAGTTATTGTTTTCAAACTATTCATATTATTGGCAACTTCGGCAAACGATTTGGGTTTTCACTGATGTATTTGAAAGAAAGAACTACTATTTTTGAAATCATTATTTGAATGAGTATTTTATCCCTGAGTTACTTCTGGTATTATTTGCTTTATACTATTATGGATTGTTGTGGACTATCGGTTATGGACCCGACCTTGGTAGAAGCTCGTCACTACTTTCAACCTATGGCTAGAATTGTTACTTACTCAGTACATGGGGTCGGTTGTACTGATACTACACTTCTGCACATTGCGTGCAGATGTCGGCTGTTGTTGTTGCTGTGCTCGATGGTTGCGGGATTTTTAGATGTACCTGCGTTCCTGTTGTAGCTGCCGCTTGTTCAGGGTAGCCTTAGATTTATAAAAGCTCTGTTTATGTATTATTCAAACAGACTATGTATTTATTTCATTTCCGCTTTGTATACTCTATTCTTAGAAGCTCATGATTTGTACTACCAGTTCTTGGGGATTGTATAA